GCTCTATGAAAATGTTTGTGTCCTCAGATGTCCCTTGATGTGCATTCATCCACTAAACCCTGGTCAGCCTATTTAGAGTCACTCCCTTAATGAGAACCAACTGTGCCTTACCCAACATGATCAGCTGCCAATAGTTCCTCAGTTAAGGCTGGATTTCTCCCCCTTTTTCCCAATTCTATGCTGTGCTTTAGTCCGGGTTGAGTTTATGAAAATGTTTGTGTCCTCAGATGTCCCTTGATGTGCATTCATCCACTAAACCCTGGTCAGCCTATTTAGAGTCACTCCCTTAATGAGAACCAACTGTGCCTTACCCAACATGATCAGCTGCCAATAGTTCCTCAGTTAAGGCTGGATTTCTCCCCCTTTTTCCCAATTCTATGCTGTGCTTTAGTCCGGGTTGAGTTTACATGAGTCTTATGAATGTTGTCACCATTGAAATTTTACATGAGCAAGTTTCCAGAAGCCTGGAATACTGTTACCTTTGGCCATCCACCACCCGTGACTCTTACAATCTCTCTGTCTCCTCTTCATCAATCGTCCCTGAGCAATAGTTAGGTGAGGTTTAATATAGGAGTCCTATCCAGGGTTACACACACATTCAGCAGTCTCTTACTCACTACACTTTGGCCAGTTGTGACTTTCTGTGTTAATCGCCCTCTGTTGTGTGAAGAAGCTTTCCTGGTGAGAGTTGAGAAATTCATTAATATTGTCCTTTCCCCCTGTTCCATTATGTTCCCTGAACCTTGGGTTTAGATGTTCCATTGTAGATGTGATACTTATGGTTGGGTATCTCCCAGACACTTATTCTCTGTGTTTGACCAGTTGTAGAACACTTTAGTGGTCACCATCTGTTGCAAAAAATGAGCTTATTTGGTGAGTGATTAGAGGTATACTTGTCTAATTATAAGGATATATATTTAGCATGCAGTAAGAAATTATGTTTGTCTAAGGATATACCAAATGTGAGGTTTTCTCTAGGATCTATGGCCACTTGAGCCCTGTGTAATTTGACTGTTTATAGGGCCACAAGTGAGTTTACTCTCATTGAGTGAACTTTAATTTCAATTAGACAGCTATTAATTACCCAAGATAAAAGTACCACTACTGCACCAATAGAGATGGTTTGCTGGGCCAGCTTTGTGGTTATTACAATTTAAAGCTGAGGTGAGACCAGTGATTGATTTTCTCTCTTAGTAGCTTGCATATGTGGTCATCACCAGCCGTGGCCACTCCTCCGTTCTCCTAGGTGCTGCTCGTTCATTCTCACAGGTGTCGAGGCTGCTCCTCCACTCGCCCTGGGCTGAGGCCGCTCTTCTGCTCGACTGGTGCCGAGGCAGCCTCCTGTCATCGTTGCTTCTGCTCAGTCCTGGGCCCCAGGGCTGATGAGGAGACTATGTCAGTGGAGCCGCATTCAGACACAGGAGACCAGGTTCAGTGAAACAGATATGCTTTATTGCAGGAAGGCAGAAGGCATAGTGGTCCAATCAGCACAGCAAGTAGGATTCCTCATTAGCATAACAGGTTTAGCATCCTATCACAGTACAGCAAGTAGGATACCTTATTAGCATAACAGACAGCGTCCTATTAGCATAACAGACTTAACATCCTATCATGGAATAGCGGGTAGGATGCCTCATTAGCATACTTGGTTTCAGATTACAGAGCCTGGATTCCTGGAAACCACGTGACCCTTACTGTTGCAATATCTAAGTGTTGCAGTTTTGGATTCCAAGGGTGGTGATTAGGGAGTGGCGAGCGCTAGGCATCAGTCTCATGATCTGCCAATGGGAGCAAATGTCACAAGGCGTTTTTGTGGCTCCAGCGGTCTGGCCATTGCCTCGGGGCCTGCTCTACGGTTGTCAATAAGACTTTCACCCTAGGCTCAAGCCTGTCTCCCACATGCATAGTATCCTCTGAACTATGGGAGCTAGTCTTCACGGAGGAGGCTTCCAGGTCAGTTCCAGCTCCATTGTTCCAAGTCCTTTGTCTGAAATATGTTCTATCCACAGCAACAGGGTCTTGTATTCAAGTTCTGAGAAGCCATCAAGGGCTGTGGCAATAACCTGTGTTATTTTGGCAATAGCCTGACCAACAACTCAAAGGGAGATTTCTCATCTCTGTCCTGTGACTCACTGTTCATTCACATTTGCAGTCATTCTTGATGAGTAAGGTCTTTCTCCAGAGATTCATTTCTTCATTTTATATGTCATTGAGTTTCTTACATTCTAGTTTTTCTATAGTCTTTCATTGTGGTTAAGTAATTCTCTCTAATAATGTGCTTGAATTCTTTCCTTATTTTTGATGGGTCTGTTACAGATTGGTGCTTTTTAGTTACCATGAGGCTTATAAAACTATTTGGCTATGATAAATAATTTTGAACTGGCAGTAATTATAAAGGTTATAAAGATAAGAAGCAAAAAAACAAAAGGGAAAATATTAGCAAAAATCTCAATGCTTGCCCCACATCATTCTTTATATTTTGATTTGGGGTAGTGTTTGAGGGGTTGTTTTGTTTATGGGCTTTGTTTTGGAGACACTCTGTAGACCCCAGCTGGCCTGGAAATCACTATGTAGATCAGGCTGCCTTTAATCTCACAGAGATCTATCTACCTGGATCAAAGGTATGCGCTACTGCACCAGATGATGTTTTGAATATTTGATGAATCACCTTCATCTTCTGATATTTCTTATCTAAACATATTATTCAACCTATTTTTAAAATATTTTATTTATTATTTTTATTTTATGTATGAATGTATTGCCTGCATGTATATGAGTGCACCCATGTCATGCAATGCCATGGAGGTCAGAAGAGGGCATCGGATTCCCCTGGAACTGGAGTTAAGGACCGTTTGTAGCTCCTATGTGGGTGCTGGGAATCAAACCCGGGTCCTCTGCAAGAGCAGTCAGTGCTCTCAACCTCTGAGCCATCTCTCCAGCCCTCAACAACATATTTTTTGAAACAGACATTTAAACAAGTTTTATTGAGATTCTGTGATTTTCATACAATGTAATTTGAACATTTTATTTTCATTGTTTTGCTTTCAGTTTCACACTAAAGATATAAATGGTTTATATTCCATGTTTACAACATCAAAACATTCAGTTATTCTGTAATATTTCTTTTACCAGTGAGGTTTTTACTCTACGATGCTCTTTTTTCCTTTTTGGTTTTTTTCTTTTCCTTTCTTTCTTTCTTTTCTTAAAATCCTAACTAGTTTATTGCACTTGCTAACAGCATAGGGTAGGGTTTATTTACAGAAGAGTGGGTGCCCCCAATTTACAGGTGAGCTATAAAGTCCCCACTCAAATATAGGTCCTGTGACCTCCCGACAGCTGCACAGAATGGTGAGAGAGGTACTTCATTGCATTCTCAAGTTTTATATCCTTTGCCCCTCCCCCACATGCAGCTATGGTCGGCTAATTTGGTGGGAGGGATAACTGACTTCCCCCTCAATTACTTGATGAGCATGGGAAGGACATGTGACTATGGCTTGCTGCTTAGTGGTCAGAGGGCACTTCCAGTTAACACTCTACCTCTTCCTTTGGCACTCACATTCTTTCCACCAACTCTTCTGCAAAAGTCCCTGAGCCTTGGAGTGGGTTGTAGGTATGGGATGATCTTCGCCCAATTGTTGGAGGCACTGAACATTTGGGTCTCTGCATTGCCTGTTTTTCATGGACTACTGGCCCATTTCAGTGAGATTCAATCTACTATAAAAACAAACACAGCAAGAAGCAAGTACATCTAAACAGTGACTGCTGTAATAACATAACCTATGGGTGTAAACACAGACACTTCGATGGTACTTTAGCAGGTGCACCTATGATGCTATTTTTACTTTGCTGATGATAGAGCTTTTCATTAGCAATTTTTGCCTTTAACTCTGTATATTGTCTCATTTCTGCTTGCCTATTACATTTCTGCAGAAAATTTTGATGTCAGGGAAGCTGTACTATTCTTATGTACTATTTTGTCTTCCTCTTTTGAAAGCATTTTCTCTGTTCTTAACTTTTGAGAATTTGGTTGTCTTTAGGAGAACTTGGTTTAGTTGATTATGAGTAGTGTTCTCTGAGCAATAAGTGGATTCTGAACTATCACCACTTGTACCATATGTAGTTGCTACAGCCAGTTGGAACCCATCCTGACCCTGCAGCCTCTGCCAAATTTCCAGCTTGGGTTGTGGAGCCGGCAGTCCAGTATGTGATGAATGGGGATTGGTATAATTAACTATCAATCAGTCTCTCAGTCACACAGTCAGTCATACACATAGAAACACATAAAATGAGGTTGGATGTTGTAAATTAGATTGGGTGTTGGCACCCAACCAGAGCTTTCTCAGGCAGTGTCTTTACTTTTAGAGAAAGGCTAGAGGAAATTCACTTGTCAGGATCAAACTCCTCTGACCAGATCAGAGCCTTCTCATTCAACGTCTTGACTTTTTGAGAAAGTCCATGGGAGGAATTCTCCTCAATATCGCACTCCACGACCAAACCAGAAATAGGAGCTCCAAACCAGAAATATCAGAATGTACTTCCTAGGAGAATGAGAAGAACTCAATCAATTTTGGTTTGGAGTGCACAGAGTGGTCATTCTGGGACTCTCCATTCCTGGTGTGAGAGTCATAGAGTGCTGGAACATCACAGGGGGCACCTCCTCTGCAACAATTCACCAAGCTGGGGATATCCAGTGTGCGGCTGAGCCCCTTGAGTAGCAATCTCACTGGGTTTTCCAAAATGTTATAACTTGCATGAGGCAAAGAATGCCTCAAAGTGATGGTTGAATTAAGAGTCATTTAATTAGTAATTAGCTAGTGGTCAAGAGCGGGTTCACATTCAAAATTCTCAACTCAGAGAAGAGGCAGAGCATGGTTTATAAAGCTAAAGACCACAATTACATGATGTCAGGGGCAAAGCCAATAACCATAGTTACATCATAATTATACCATGAGAGGGAGATTGCATAGTTACACCATAATAGGCACAGGTCAGTTAACAAAAAAGGTTTCAGTTAAAAAGTTTCTAAGTTTCAGTTAGGAAAAACAAGTTTATCAAAATTTCAGAAATGACGAGCTCCCTGGAGCTCCAGGTATAGCTGATAGAGAACATTGACTGACTGACTGACTGAATGTGTTTAGTACTGTACAAACAATATATTCTTTGAAATGCAGATGAACCATTTATGTGGCTGTTATTCCTTGTTAGAGAGTAGCAGGATCAAGGGGTACTTTGGAGCAGAAAGACAGAATGGAGTCAGATAAAGTGGAATCACTTTGGGCATTGATTTTTGAGTGATGAGGGAAGGCTCAGCCCACTATGGGTGGTGCCCACTATGGGTGATGCCCCCTCTGGTCAGCTGCTCCTGGATTGTATAAGAAAGCAGTCTGGGGCTGGAGAGATAGCTCAGTGGTTAAGGGCACTGGCTACTCGTGCAGAGGATCCAGGTTTGACTCCCAGCACCCATGGGGCAGCTAACAACCATCTATAACTCCAGTTCTATGGGATCCGACACCTTCTTCTGACCTCCATGGGCATTGCGTGACATGGGTGCATTTGCATACATGTAGGCAATACACCCATACACATAAAATAAAAGTGATAAATAAAACTTTTTTAAAAAAGAAGAAAGTAGTCTGGGCATAAGACAGAGGAGCAAGTCAGTAAGCAACATTCTTTCATGATGTGTGCTTCATCTCCTGCTTCCAGGTTCCTTCCCTGAGTTCCCTCAGTGACAAATTTTGACCTGGTAGATGTAAGATAAAATGAGTCCTTTCCTCCCCAATTTGGTTTTAGTCAGGGTTTGTATCACAGCAATGGAAAGTATCTAGGACAACTTTCTTTTATCTTGAAATATTCTTTTTCTATTGAATTTATGAAATCATTATCCCTGTATGTGTATAATCTGCTGGTAGATTGCAAAATCATTCAAGGATGGCAAAGGAAGGCAATGAGTTTTACTCATCTTGTGAACAGTGAGAAAATAAGCTAAGAAAGTAAAGGAAGGAAAAGATGAGAATATTAGAGCTATTTTGCCAGTCACTGGGTTCCAAATACCATTTAAATGTCAGTGTCACTACCTTTGGATGTGTACAATCTTCCAGCCAACTTCTTGAAAGCCCCTTTCACATTTTTGTTCCTAAGGCTGTAAATGATGGGGTTCAACATGGAAGTCATTACTGAGTAGAACACAGAGATTACCTTATCCTTTTCACTCATTGTCTTGGAGTTAGGTCTCATGTAGGCAAATATTCCAGAGCCATAGTAGAGAACCACAACGGTGAGGTGGGAACCACAGGTGGAGAAGACCTTGAGCCTCCCCTTCCCCGACTGCATCCGGATCACAGTGGAGATGATGTTCCAGTAGGAGACAAGGATGAGGGAGACAGGAGCTAAGAGGATAATCACACCCACTAAAAACAGAGCCATCTCAGCATTGTAGGTGTCAGCTGAAGCCAGCTTTACAAGGGCAGGAGGTTCACAGAAGTAGTGATTAATTACATTCTGTCCCTGGTACGGAATACTCAGTGTAAATGCGCTGTCCACTGAACATGCAAATGCACCACTTATCCAGGAAACTGCAGCCAGCTGGATACAAAGCCTCTGGGTCATGATTGTGGAGTAATGCAGGGGCTTGCATACAGCCACATAACGGTCGTAGGACATCACTGCCAGCAAAGCACACTCTGTACACCCTGCTAGGAGAAAGACCACTATCTGCACTAAACATCCAGCAAAGGAAATGGTTTTCTTTTTTGAAAGGAAATGCATCAGCATCTGGGGCACAATGCTCATGGAGAAACAGAGGTCTGCAAAGGATAAATTTTTGAGGAAAAAGTACATGGGTGTGTGAAGCTGAGAGTCGATTTGGATAAGGATTATGATCAGCAGGTTTCCAAACACAGAAAGGAGGTAGATGATCAGGAAAACACAAAATAACAAGATTTGGATTTTAGGATCCTGTGTGAGTCCCAGCAAGATAAATTCAACCACATAAGTTTTGTTTCCTCCTCCCATTGATGGTTAGTCCTGTTTACCTGGCATCAGACAAAGAAAACATGTTTTCAGTCCTTTATAAACAAGTGTATAGCTATGAGTGGACCTTCTTAACTGGTGGCTGTTTCCCACTTGGTGCCAGGTACTATGAAAATGCAAACTGCTCTTTCAAGCACATAGCTTTGTTTTGTTGGTTTGTTTGATTCATTTCTGAGAAAGAAATTCACTGTGTAACCCAGGATGACCGTGACTCAAGATCTTCCTGCAACAACTTCCCAAGTGTTGGAGTTACATGTGTTCATCATCGTGCCTAGTTCTCACATTTCTTAAGCATATCTAATATTCTTGTTGTGCTTGGTACAAATTCATTCACTGGAGTATAGTCAGTCTATCTAGTGATCATAAGTAAGTCTAGACTCCCTCACCCAGTAGTAATCACTCTCCACCAGTTCCCAGGCTAGGACTGGCCAGTTGCCCATTTCCCTTGCTCCATTCTGGGCTCTTGTCTGATTGAGTTGGCATGGGTCTTATGCCAATGCCACCATTACCACATGTGCACATGTACAAGCTGCCCCTGACCTGAAAACTTCTGTTCACCTATGTTCATGGACCAACCCTGACACAGAAGGCCACAACTGGCCAGGTTTTAGAGAATAAATGACTGTCAAGTGTGTGTCCCTGGATAGGACTTCTATAATAACATCTTTTGCTTTTAGATTTTAAAACACCAGGCAGCATATCAAAAAACAAATGTCAGAACCAGGTGTGGTGGTGCGTACCTTTGATCCCATCATTTGGGAAGCAGAGGCAGATGAATGTCCTTGAGATCAAAGTTAGCTAGTTTATAGGGAGTTCAAAGCCAGCTGGGGCTACAGGGATGCCCCATCCCAAAATACACTAAAAACTAAACAAAGCAAAAATGTCAGGAAAGCATTTGTCCATGTTATAATAGAAGGCTCAAATAGGGTTTTGAAGACACACAGATAAACTGTACAAATTAATTTTTTCTATAGGGTTTTTACAGTAGGAAACAATTCCTTAAACATTATCCAAGCAATATAAAAGAAGATGAGAAAAATTATATCCATAGATTGTATAACCCTGACTTCTGTGAAAATTTATCACAACCAAAGAGAAGCATGAAAAAAACTGACATTCAGAAATATAATCTAAAGTTTGTGTCTTACTGTGTAAGTAAAAAGAGCCATGCCCAAGCAGCAAACTTGATCTTATGAATAGGATATTACAGTCTCATGATACCACACCTCAGATCGCTACCTATTTTAGCTGTGGTGAATAGTTATAATGATCTGAGTTTCCGATCAGATTGGGTTGCTTAAAGATTCTGAGGCTAGCCTAGGTTTCATAGGGAGATCTTGTCTTAAGAAAACAACAAAATAAATTAAAATAAAAAATTATAATTTTAGAACATAATCAGCCTTTAAAAAGGGTATAGTGACACAGAAAAAATGGGGGTGAATTTCTGAAGTGCTAATAATTTCTATTTTTTCAAATGGGGTCTAATTACATCACTATATCCATGATTTAAAAACTCATTAAACTTTGGTGCTCAAGAAGGTTTAGAACATGTACTGCTCTTGCAGAGGACCTGAGTTTGTTTCCCAAACCTGTGTTGGATAGCTCACAACTACAACTCTAGGTCCAGGGATACTGACACATTTTCCTGTCTTTTCCTGTCCTCTGTAGGCACCTGCACATACTTGCACATGCACACAAAGAGACACACTTGCAGAGATCCTGTCTCAAAAAGACAAAAAAAATTTTTTTAATCTTTAAATATTTTTAAAAATTTGCTAAACTCTGTACCTATAACCTTTGTACTTGTCTGTAGCTTTTTTGTTTTTAAGAAGTTTATTTTGGGGCTGGAGAGATGGCTCAGTGGTTAAGAACAGACTGTTCTTGCAGAAGACCTGGGTTCGAATCCCAGCACCCACATAGCACCTAACAACTGTCTGTAACTCCAGTTCCTGGGGATCTGGCAGCCTCTTCTGTCCTCCATGGGCATTGCATGACACGGGTACACTTACCTACATGCAGGCAATGCACACATACACATAAAATAAAATAATAAATAAAATAGTTTTTAAAAAGAAGTTTATCTTATTGTGGAGATGAAGAGATGGCTCAGTGCTTAAGAGAATTTTCTGCTCTTCCAGAAGACCCAAGTTCAGTTCCCAGTACCTAAGTCAGACACTCACAAGTGCCTGCAATTCCAGCTCCTTGAGATTAGACACCTGTGGGCTCCTAGGGAAACTGCATTCATGTAGAAATCAGAGACACACACAGATACACACACACACACACACACACACACACAAATAAAAATTATAATGAATCTTTAGAAACAGATGTTTATTTTTAAAACAGCATTTGGAAAATGAAATTATATTGTTTCAGAATAGAGCACTCTTTTTAAACAATCAAGATATTATTTATTATCTATGTTAATTGTGGCTCATTTGATGTGCTATATTATGCTGTTCTTAAAAACTTTCTGAAGTGAAAACTCTTTTTGAAGGAAGAAAATGGGGAAGAAAATATGAGAATGAGATTAATATGAGGTCTTAGTGGGGAGGTAAGAAGAGGTGAGAAATACATTGACATGAAAGAAAAAAAAGGGAACTCTTTAGGGATGGGAGGAACAAGATTCATAATGGAGTGCGTGTCCCTGCATAGGACTCCTATATTAAACATTACCCACCCAGGGTTAAAAGACCATTGCAGAAGAGGGGTCGGAAAGATTGAAAGAGCCAAGGGTGGTACATGATGATAAAGAAATGGTCTTACAGGCTTCTGGGAACTTGATCATATGAACTTACAATAAAGGTGACAGCATGCCCAAGACCCATGCAAGCTCAATCAGACAGAAACCAGCACAGAGCTGGGGAAATGGACAGCAGGCCCCAACATTACCTGAGGAACTATTGGAAGCTAATCACTGCTGGATGAGGGAGAGCTAGTTGATCTTCTTTAAGGCAGTTATACTTGATAGACTGACCAGGCTCCAGTGGGTGAACTCACACTGAGGGATATCTGGGTACACAAACTTGACTTTATAGGCTTTAACATATATGCAGAATGCCTGAAATCCTATGGGTGGGTTATGACGGGTTCCAGATAGGGCAGGAGGTCTAAATATGAGTAAAATATATTGATTGAGAGAGCAGTCTTGGAGGTGGATGAATATGAGCAAAATTTAATCACATATATGCCAAAAACAATTTTAAGTTGTATACTAACATAAATCAATAATTATAAAATAACATTTAAAAGGATTTAATAGATGTACATTACCTAAAGTCCACACTGAGGCTTCCCTCAGATGAGTCTCCGTACAAGTACTCAGCGTCTTCCTGTCCATTCTTCCACACGGCCTTCTTCCTAGGAGCTAAGAGATCTACATGTTCATATCAAACAGCAAAAGTAGAGTTCCTTTGCAATAGCATTTAATAGAACTAAGAAAAAGGTCAAGGTATGGGATCAGACTCCCTGAAAAACATATGGGTATGTCCAAAGAAATCTGAGGATTTCAAGCAAAGGAAAAGGACTGGGATGAACCTAATCTGACGGACATATGCTGACGGAAATCATACTCTATTGGAGTATTGCAGTACTGGAGGACATTGAATTGTATTGGGGTCAGTGGGAGAGGAGCAGATGGGGGAGGGGATCTACCACCAAACTATATGAAAATTGTAAAAATTCAATAATTAAAAAATTGATAGCGACAAATGTCTTATTTAGTTATATGATTTCTACCTCAGTTTGCAACAAGGACAGATTCTTTTGGAGAACCCAATGTGACAAAAATTTAACCTTTGACTGAGGACACAAATAATGCAAATAGCACAGTAACAAATAATGTGTAGAATCACATTAATGAGGAATCAGTGATAAGTACATAGGACCTTATTGAGTGAGATCTACTGCTAAATACTAAAGAATGAGCCACATGATATCCTTGGTATAAAATTATAGAAAATGCATAGAAGAGATTCCCAGTTCTAGTAACTGTGTGGTGAATTGACAACATACTTCTCCACTGAAAATCCTTGTTTTAAGTTACCTGAATGAGAGAGAAAAAAGATCCAAGAAATCATCATTATAATTCTGATATTAAGAGGATCAGTGATACAAAAACCCAATAGTTAAAAGAAGAGAGAAGCTAGTGTAAGTTTTAATCACCACAAAGAGAACCGCACTGACTATGTGCGAATACCAAAAAGGACCTGTGTAGACGAAAGGGATGCATTAACAATCTGTGTAATAGTCTTGGCAAGGCAAATAATGAGTTTAAAAGGAAAAAAAACAGAATGGAGAAATTTATCATCCTTCAAGACAAAAGAGAACTAAAACTCAAAGGGAATATACTGTAACCACCCCTCCTCAGAAAAAGCAAAGCCACCCATCACATTTATTTTTTTCTTAGTCTGTCTCAGATACCTTTAAAGCTACAGAAACCTGTTCACACTATTCTTCATCAGTTTCTCTTATACTTTTTCCTGCCTGACGAAATATCCTTTTCTCCGTTTTCCATTTCAAACTTCTACTCACCTCCCTCTTCCTCACTTTCTGAGCCCACACACACTCTGCATAATCTCATCTACTCCTCTGATTTCATCCACATTTACTCGTTCTCATGTATTTGTGGGCGATTCTTAAGTCTCTAGAAACAATGGAAGTCTTTCCCCTAAAAATTCTGCTTTACATGTTAAACTATCTGTAGATCATCATTGAAAATTGGTTTAAATGGGGTTGATAATTTTACATACGTAGTTGAAAATGATGATATAATGCTGTCAATATCAACACTGTAGGTTTTGGAGAAATAAGGTTTGGCTTGAATCTGAATTAGTGAATCCTCTTAAGGAAGAAATTCCATCTAAGTTCCAATATTCTTAACATGATGATATTAGTATCATTTCTCATTTGCTGAAGAAAAGAGATTCATTTATATAGATATCAAGTGAGTATTTTCCAAATGATCTTTCCAGTATCTACAGCACCAGTAAGTAAGCATTCCTTACTGCATATGGACCAGGGAGCATTTTCCATGTACTTTATCAC